CCCCCCCCCTTCCTGCCCCATAGCTCCATTTCACCCCGTAGCCCCGCTCTGCCCCATAACCACCCCCCTTCCTGCCCCATAGCCCCACTCAGCCCCATAGCCCCATTCTGCCCCATTACCTGATCCCACCCCATAAGCTCACCTTCGCACCCCACAGCCCCACTCCGCCCCACATCCCCCCCCTCCCCATTGCCCCACTCCCAAACCCCACTCTGAATTTCCCATTAAAACCCCTGGAAATCCCATAAAACCGCACAAATCCTTGGGAAAACCCCAATTTGTACCAAATTCCAACGAAACGCTACGAAAAGAGAAAAAAACAAAGGAAAAAACCCCGCCGGGTTTCTAAAAATGCGAACCATTTATTGCCAAAACCGACACATTTCACCCCAAAACGTGCCGTGATGGAGGGGGCGTGGCCAACGCAAGCCACGCCCCTTTGGACAAAGCCACGCCCACTATAAACAGGATCAGATCGAGACCACGCCCCCACTCAGAAAAAGCGGCGCTAATGTGGGCGTGGCCACGTCGAGCTCCACCTCAAAGTGGGCGTGGCTACGCCATGTCCCGCCTCCAGCGCAGCGCGCTGTACTCGCAGGCGCCCCCTGGCGGCGCGGCGCAGAGCAGCAGCGATTTCCGAGCGGCCGTTCCGAGGCGCGCGGCGCTCAGCAGCGCCCCCAGCGGCAACGGAGCGGAACTGCGCGGGCACAGCGCGACGGCGGCGGCGTGGAACAGCGGGGGGGGGGCCGGGGGGGGGGGCCGGGCGTCAGGGGGCGGGGAGAACGGCCTTTCATCCCTCCACACCCACAGCAAGAACCCAAAAAGAGCCATAGAAACCCCACCCAGGACCCATAGAGATGCAACAGAGGCCCCATAGACAGGGGCCCCATTGGGACACGGAGACCCATAGAGCCCCCCAGGATCCCATAGAGCACATGAAGAGCCGCAGCGAACCCACAGAGACCCTGTAAAGATCCATAGAGACACACTGAGACCCCCCAGAGAACCCCCAGATCTCCCTAGGACCCCATAGTGCCCACAGGGACCCATAGACAACCGATAAAGACCCATGGAGACGCCGTAATGGATATAATTTATCCATTACCCGATGGATAAAGACCACCGGGACCCCGCAGAGCTCCCCACGATCCCATAGAACCCTTGAAGACCCACCGAGACCCAAAAAGGATCCATAGAGACCCCACAAAGACCAACGGAAGCCCCCCCAAAAGCCCATAGCGCCCCATAATGGCCCCCCGTGCCCCACATCCTCACCGGGATACACCAGGAAGTCGCCCCCGAATTTGCCGCCGGCCGTGAGGTGCAGCCCCCGCCCCCACAGGTCCCGGTACACCCGGAAACGGCGCTCCCGGTGCGCTGTGGGGGAGGGGAAGATGAGGGGCGGGGCTCAGGGGAGCCACTCCCACAAACCCCACAGATCCGCGCCCAAAAAACCCCCTCAGCCCCACTACGACGGAGCTCACCTTCCGCTTCCGGTTCATCCGCTTTTACTTCTGGCCCCACCGCGTCCACTTCCGGCCAGTCCGTTTCAACCTCCCACCTCTCCGTTTCCGGTCCTTTACATTCAACTTCCGGTTTCTCCACTTCCAGTCCCTCGGATCTCACTTCCTGTCCTTCACTATCAACTTCCGGTCTCTCATCACCAGCTTCCCGTCCATCCGTTTCCACTCCCTCTGCCCCCGCCGCTGCTCCGCACAGTCTCGACCTTTTGATTCCCACATCCGGTCCCTCAACTCCCACTTCCAGTCCGCAGCTTATCGGCCTTTTCCCGCCCACTTCCGGTCTCCGCGTTTCCGGTTCCGGTTCTAGCCGCGCCGCCCCGATCTCCTCCAGCAGCCGCCCTTCCTCCGGCAGCAGTTGCAGCGGCAGCCGCCTTCCCCCTCCGCGCCGCGAGGGGGCGCCAACCAAAGCTCCCCACATCCGGTGCCGCTCCCGCAGCGTCCGCACCGCTTCCGCCGCCCACACCAACACGCGGTCGCGGTGCGCGTGGAGCCGGAGCGGGGGCTGGGGGGGCACAGAGACACACAGGGACCCCTAGAGACCCCATACAGACCTACAGGGACCCACAGGGACCCATAGAAACACACAATGAGCCCACAGAGACCCCATAAGGACCCATAGAGACCCAAAGAAACACACGGTGACTCCATAGAGGACCCCACAGCAAATCCCCAGACCCCACAAAAATCCCAAGAAACCCCATCGGGACCCATAGAGAGCCGTAACCGTTAGGCCTCATCCCGTGGCCGCTTTAAGAAGCATTGCCCCTTTTAGGGCCCTCCGTCGAGGTCTCGAGCCTCGTTAAAAATGGTCCCCTCTTTAAAGGGGCAACACCGCTCTTAAAGGGGCAACACCTCCAAGGTGGTCCCCTCTAATTAAAAGGGCAGCCTTTGGGCAGCCGCCTTATGGGGTGGGGGGGCTGTGGGGCTGGGAGGGGCCTTAGATGGTCTATGGGGTCTTTGGGGGTCCCTATGGTGCTTCTCTTTGGGGAGTCTTCTTAAAGGGGCAATACCCTCCTCAAAAAAAGCAGAATTCCCTTGAAGGGGCTACGCTTTAGTGGACCCCCCACTGTTAAAGGGGCATCACCCCCACCAAAGGGGCAACATTTTCTTAAAGAGGCAATCCTTTCTTAAAGGGGCAACACTCTTCCTAATGAGGACCCCCTTGAAGTGGTCCCCCTCTTAAAGGGGAAACCCTTCTTCGAAGGCGCCCCGCTTAAAGCGAGCTCCCTCTTAAAGGGGCTACGGTCTCTTAAAGGGGCAACCCCCCCGAAAGGGTCCCCGATTCAAAAGTGCGCCCCCCCTTTTAAAGGGGTCTCCTCTCTTAATAGCTCCGCATCCTTTAAACCCCCCCACCGCCTCTCTTAAAGGGACCGCGCCCCGTTTTACACCTCCGTACCTCGGCGTCCGTCATTCCCGCATCCAGAGCTGCGCTGCGGTGGGCGGAGCTTCTTAGGGGGTGGGAAGGGGGGCGGTGAGGGTTGTGGGCGGAGCCTGGAGGGGGGGGGGTGTAGAACCAATGGGGGCAGCGCTTTGGGTTGCGTGGGGGGGACCTGGAGGGTGGGGGCGGGGTTTGGGAGGGGGCGGTGCTTGGGTGGGTGTGTCCAGGTGGGCGTGGCCAGACCGCCCCCTCCTCTTCCCCCCCCCCCC